CGAACAGGACAATAGAATGAAATTGGGACAGGTGAATGAGAGAGAGAGAGAGAGAGAGAGAGAGAGAGAGAGAGAGAGAGAGAGCTCCCCCACTACCCCCCTTTCGCTTATTCTCTCACCTCTAAATCCTCTACGACTATTTGTTGTATCTACAGCTCCCTAATAAGACCAATCCAGATGTTTACAATAGGCTCTGGTTTGATTTTTCTTCTTCCCAGACCAACACAGATGGGTTTTTTAGTAATAATATTGTTCGTTATGCATTACTACCCTAGAAGAAGCTGACCGGCGTCTCACTGACCAGCTAGGTGAGATTAAAAGAAGCTTGGAATTCTCGCAAAGGGATATAAGTGACTTACAAGCAAAGTTGAACGTTGAAGCTAAAGAGAACCGAACACTCAAGACCCAAGTTCTACAGCTGAGTGAGGAAAATTCCAAGCTCAAAACGGAACTAACGACAACAGCAGACCGGGTTGATTATGTGGATGACATAGGGCGGCGAAACAACCTCAGGATTGCCGGTATCCCTGAAGACATCCATGAGAACTGGGAGTCATCACAACGCAAAATCTCGTGCTCAACGCGTCGGGAAACCCAACTCCTCCCGCCCCCGCGACATCCTAACAAAATTCTCATCCCCCTCTGACCGTGACAAAGTGTTTTGGCAACGCATTAAACTGAAAGGCACCACTATCTTCGTCAAAGAAGATCTCTGCCCAGGTACGACTAAAGCCCGTCTACAGCAAATGGACCAGTTTAAAGAAGCCAGGAAACAAGGGAAACACGTGACGTTCAGTCATAAAACCCTTGTTGTGAGGGAATGGGCAAGTGGACACCCGCCCACTCACTCACCGGCTGTACCCCCCCCAGCCCCTCGAGAACCCCCTCCCACTGAGGGGGAACCAACCACTGTCTCTATCACCTGCGGAGTTTCTCCCCTGCCGGCCAACTCGAGTACTACACGTCTACCCGCTGTGGTGGAAACCAGCAACCCTCAAAACCGAGTGACAGGCGCACCTCCCACTCCATCTGGGAATCTCCCTCAACAGTACCGGTCATCATAATTCTGTTGGTTGTAGCACTTGTGAGTACGTTACCCCCCCCCGCCCCCCACTTTTATAATGTTCTTAGATCTTCCTTTTTCACACCTCAGTGACCCTGAGTTTTTACTGTTCCTTAATCAGTATCAATGTTCCCACAATGATGATGCTAGTGTCATCCCTTAGAGGTGCTAGATCGTATGTGTTACACCCCATTTCCCCATGGTGTCGACACAATACTCCTTCATATCAATCCTGATGTCTTTCTACAAAACTCATTGAGTCACACCAACCGAAACTGTAACTATTACTGACCTGACTCTCCCGAGTTTAGTTCTAGTCTCCTACTACCTCATTCCATCTCCTTGATTAGCCATAACTTCAGCAGTATTCCCCTTCATCTAGATACCTTTTTAAATCAGTGTTTATCTTCTATTGCCCACACATTTTATGTACTTGGGTTCTGTGAGACCAAACTCACTAACGATATTGACCATTTGTATAACATTCCTAATTATAATAGACACTGCGTCAACACGTCACGACACAGTGATGGTGTCGCCCTATATGTTGATATCAAGTACAACACTTCTGTAAGAGATGATTTAAAGGTTCATGAGGAATACATGGAGAGTGTTTTCATTGAATTACGTAACGGCACACGAAATATCCTAGTAGGAGTAATCTACAGAAGACCCCACACTAATGTAAGGAATTTTCTTGATAAATTTTTGGAGCTTATCTCTATCATAAGTTCAAAGAGGAAACATTGCTACATTACAAGAGATTTCAACCTTGATCTATTAAAATCAGAAACTGACACCTCAGTATTAGACCTTCTTGCTACCTTTCATTCTAAACTCTTCTTCAACACTATAACCAAACCCACTAGAGTAACTGCCACCTCTGCCACTGTGATAGATCATATCTGGACTAACAACACTCCTTACAATCTTGCAAGTGGAATTATTTATAACTAGCAGAAACGCTCTTTCGCTAGGCCAAGGTAGGGCGCCACCCTCCGGGAGGCTCCACATTGTCTCACTGTAGTGCATTAGGGTAGACCATATTTTTGGTTTTGCCATTAGGAGAAAGTATGTACTGATTTTTGCCAGTTCCCACTCTGGATCATCCAACATAGAACTGTCCATGAGAGAAGGAAGGAAACACCAGGTTTACGCCAACCATCTTTAGGGACTGTCCCTGACTTTTGTAGATGGTCATGGCAAAGCTCACTTTAACCGGGAACTGAAGTCGCTTGAACTCAAATGGCAGGTCAGTGGTGATGAGAGGTATCCTTGGTATAAAAACGTCCTCTCCTTTAGCTTTTCCTGTCAGTATCGTAGCTTCCAGTACATGTGGCATCATGTTCTTCACCACCAGTCTTGTGCCATTGCAGAGCCTTGGTGGTTCAAGATTTCTTAAGAGCATTATAGGAGTTCCAATCTTGAGAGTGAGGTGGTGAGGAGGCATTTCAGCGGGCTCCAAAGAATTCAGGAATTCTGCAGGGTACTGGATTGCTTGGTCCTGGTCGATTACTATATCAACAGACTTGAATGATATCTCACTGCCTGAAAGCTGTCTGAGTCTTCAATGGTTGTGGTGGTTTTTCCACATTTGGCAGTCGTACTTTCCCACGAAAGCAGCACAGTCCAGCAGATTCTCCTTTGTACTTCTTTGCACAGCAGTGTTCACATTTCTTATCCATGTTGCCAATGACAACAGAGGGATACTTTTCATATTCTGTCTCATTGTCATAGTTAAATGCTGCTCTTGCAAGTGGATACCACTGTGTATTCTTTTTTAGAATTCTGGATCCCGCAGTTCTCTGTCTATCAGCATTCAAACGAATTTCATGCGCTTGATCATGTTCTTGAGAACGCCTTTCTGCTGTTTGCTGTCTGTGAGCATTAAGACGGGATTCCCTTTCCTGATCTGTTTCCTGTGACCGACTGTCCGCTCTCTGTCAGCATTATGACGGGATTCCATTTCCTGATCTATTTCCTGTGACCGACTTGCCGTTGTTCGCTCTCTGTTAGTTTGTAAACGTGCAGCACGTTGTTGCCTTGATTCACTTGATCTTGATTGCTGCTTTCTCAGTGCATCTCTCTGTCTTCTTTCAAGAATTGACAGCCTTGGTAGTTTCTTTGGCGGCATTTTGTTCAGTTAGATTTGATCTTAATTTTGTTTTCAGCGCGATTACAATCCTTCCTTCCCAGGGCAAAGCTGGGAACAAACAGTGGCTCAAGCTAGTAAGCTATGAAACGACGAGCGAACAGTCCCTAGGCAAAAAGTTGCCATGTACCACCGACGCTCTTTTTTTTATTTATATAGAGACGCTCTTTCAGTTATTTATATATTACATCTAGCTATAATTGAGTGGAGCATCAAGGTGAGTTAGGTAAGATACAAGGAGTTCAAAGATGAAAATGTATTACAGTCTCTCCTCGACTTACGACGGTGTTCCGTCCCGACGACCAGGTCGTAATACCTGAAATATTGTTATTAAATATTATCATCAATGACTTCTTTTGGTATTAAACAATACAATTTGGTGCTAATTTTTTCCTCTTACATAAAGTAGCTTTAGTGTATAGGGTGAAACATCTATCATGAAGTGATTGTCATTTGAACTTTACGGAGTCTGAATTTGTAAAAAAACACAACTTATGTTTTTAATCTACTCATAATCAATTTGGTAAAATGAATGTTTAGGTCATCCACCTACTTGGCATTTGAAAAAACATAATTTCAATGTCACCAAACCTAACCTAACCCAACTTAACTAATCTAACGTAACCTAACTTAACTGGTAAAAATCGGTCAACTTAAAATCATTAAATTCGTTGGATGGCCAAGAGATAATAATATCATCAATTCCATTTACTTTAGAAGGACTTATTCATTTTTGTTGAAATCATGGACATACAAAGCCAATATATCTACATTTGATTCTACCACTGTGAATGGCAAAGTTAATTAATATCACCACTCCAACTGTTGGACCAAACAAGTGGTAAAGTAGTTCTTTCTTGTAATACATTGAGTCACTAAGGGAATAAAAAAATAAAACATGAAATTAGGTCACTGAATTTATCTTATTAGTAGCAAATTGTGGTTAAACTGATACACAAATGAAACATGCCTGGGAAGTACCTAGCACTAGTTACCTGGCATATTTGGACTTATTAAAATATGAAATCTAGGCTAATAAGTAAATATACTAAGGAAATAATTATTTTGGTAGTGCTGGACGGTTATTAATAGACCATTTACGACTTTTTTTAGTTTAATTTGATTTCAATACATTTCTACACATAAGTTAGTTGTATTAGTTATCTTAAAGGCTTACCTTTTATGATGGTTAGGCGAATTTGGAGGATATAAACGGCGATGAGACAAGTAGAGGCTGGCGGCATTTTTCGTACACAATCACGGACCTCTTTTAAAAAAAACAATACAATTCTGCATGTGCTGTTCTATATGGAGTATATCGTATAAAAATATTATTCATTTGCAGATTTATACATTTTATGTCCATCCAAATCAATTTTCTTTCTTTTGGTTTCAAAAATAGTTCCCTCGCAGTGATCATCGGACGGGGGTACGTGTATCACGAAATTTCCCCATGTTCCAATAACGAATCGTACATATTTTTCTTTTTTTTTTAGCCCAAAATGCTTCTTGCATAACAACCATGGGAGTGCTACAGCATGGTATACACCACGGCTGATCTTGCATATGGGCCTTGCTGTCAATGCCAAGTTTGGTCCAGATTGGTAAAGTAGTTTAAGAGATTCTCGTGCAGACACACAGACAAACAGACAGACAGATAAATTTCTTTGTTATATATATATATATATATATATATAGACACAAAACTAGAAATATAAAGTTTAATTTTTACATAAAACTTGTTAAAAGATATAGATTGGACCGGGCCGGAATAGTGTTTCTTACCGATTTGGTGACAGGGACACTGGGAAGTCCAACTGCACGGAATAAGGCCATTACCCCCTGAGATGAAGGTGCTGATAACTTTACGTTACTTGGCTACAGGGAAAATACAACTGTGCAACAATGACGACTTTGTGCTATGACAACCTAGCGTAACAGAGTGATAACACAGACGTTAAATGCTTTATCAACACCCGAAATACTCATGCGATTTATTGAGTTCCCAATGGATACGCGAGATATACAAAAGGAAGCATCAAAGTTCATGCAAATTGCGGGCTTTCCTGGTGTTGTGGGTGTAATAGACGGAACCCATATACTGTAGGAATAGTTGTTCAGTTGGTGTTCCTTGTCTTGCCGGGAGACGAGTTGACAAAGCTACTTGGTGAAGCCATTGCAGTATATGTGCGAACCCTTCTTCTGCTGTAGTTTCTTTCTCAGAGGCAAACACACGCGTTGATTGTTTATGTTTTGGTCCAGTTTACAGTAAATAAGTATTCGATTCACGTTCTTTTTTTTTCTTTTTTAGCCTGCGTTTATTCGCATTAAAATACAAGCAGACTATAACAATTTTATCCTTTCATAAACTTGCTCTGCTTATTTATAAAGATGCTCTTGTCAATTGGAGTTTTTTCTTAAATTTACTCTTATTCTTAGCTAAGAGTAGGACTTACCCGCTTCATGAGATACACTTAAGAATTACTCTTAGATGAGAATAATAAAAGTGGTATAAGAGTAAAATGAAGAAATTTCTTAAGAAGTTTTATAAATACGGGCCCCGGTGCCGTCTGACTCCCAAGGACACCTCTCTCTCTCTCTCTCTCTCCGTATTTCTTTGTTAATAATTCTCTCACGCTCTTCTCCTCTCCTTCCCTCTTCTCCTCCTCTTCCCGCTTCATCATCTCTTCTTTTTTTTTTTTAACTGTTTATTTTCTTGCTAGCATTAGCATCAGTCTGGACGGGGTCGCTTTCGGTGGGTGATGGTGGTGGGTGTTGGAAAGGGATATGGCTGGGGGGTACATGTCCTTCATACCAAATATTTTAACAGCTTCTTTAAGGATTGTCGTTTGGTTGGGTCAATGTTGAAGGCGTGGATCAACCATTGCTGGGCGTTTGGGGTAAGGAGGTGCAATTCATCTTTCATAAGTCGCTCCAGGAGACGGCCAACGCTGTACACGTCGGCCTTGGTGGTGAGTGGGCATCTTTTGACGACCTCTGGGGCATTGTGGTCGGGGGCCCTTGTTGAGTTAAATTTAATGAAACTTCCAACTTTAGTGGCGATACCGAAGTCAATGAGCGTGGCTTGGATCCCCTTGTCGGTCTTCTGGATGCAAATGTTACCAGTTTTAACGTCGTTGTGCAGCCATCCACGACTGTTAACCGCGATCAATGTACGGGTGACCTGTTGTATGATCTGGAGGCGTTCGGAGAAGGTACAGTCATTAATCTTCAAGTATTCCTTGAGGGAGTCCCCGGCGAACACTGTAATCATAGTTAGTTCCTCAGGACAAACCATGACTATCTTCTGAACACCTGGGACATCTCGCAGGAAAGAAAGTCCTCGGATCTCCCTCTGTAAGCTTATGGTTTTACAATCCATGTTAGGAACGCTCTTGGCGACCCAGTATCCTTTTGGCCGGTGGATTTTGCAACAGGTGCAGTATGCTCCCTCGCCCAAGTGGCTCGAGGTAGATGAGTTAATTATGAATTCAAATTGTTGTGCGTTTAGTACGAGAACACCGCATATCCCGCAGTCACCAACCAGTGATCCAATAGTCTTTTTGAGACCTGTCGGCTGTCCATTATTGTGAAATATAGGGTTGACACTCAACTGCACCCAAGGACCTTAAGTTGAAAATCATCGAGTAAAATTAATTATTGAATGTTACAGTACAGGTAGGTTGGAATTTGTTTTTATACTGAAGTAAGAGTGTAGTGTAGTGATGATGTGACAGTTCAGTGTGGTTGTAATGGAATGGTTTTGAATTGAAGATGTGTTACGGTGTAGTAGGGTGTGTCATAGGAGGGAAGATCAGCTAAAACTAATGGCCCATCACTTTTTTGGTAGATTTTAGTGTATATAAACAGAAAATAATTTCAGTTTCAATATTTTGCAACCTTTTGCTAGGTAAATTTCAGCGTGAAATTTATCGAAAATCTAACGTACAGCTGCATTAGTGCATTACAATTAAATAGTGAACATTGCTTTCTGACTTCATTCTTTAACAACCCAACTAACAATATTTTTTTCTGTTTCAGATTCTGATGCATTTATAAATTGATAATATTTGCGATGGCTGCTTGTGTCAGGACGAGGAACCAAAAATCCAGCCATCTCAGTCACTATCTTGGGTCTGGGAGAGAGCTCCTGAAGTCGGAGTTGCCTACATTAAGAGATGCTTTGAGATACGGTGTTTTAATCAGGCAAATCAGTGAAAAGAACCAAAGAACTTACACAAACAAAGACATTGCCAGTGATATGACCAAAGATGTCTTGGCACAGTACACTCTGGCTAACGCTCAGTTCAAGCCTCCAGTCATAACAAGTCAGAAGAAGATTAGTGAGAGACTGCTAGCCAGTTGGGAAAAGGCAAGAGATATCTCTCTTGGGAGGAAAACTTGCAGCAGGACAGCTTTGCTACAACTGGACCAGTTATTTGGACATAATTACTACAGGTGCCCAACTGTTCTCTGTCCTGAGTTTGATGATCGTGACTGTAAACTGAGGCCCACATCTCCCGGTATTTGCAAGCGTGAACTGAAGATTCCTCTGATCGAACTGGCATCGCATCGTGCTAACAGAGAGAAGACTGGCAGTATAGGGGCTCATGATTTTCTAGCCAAGATATTCCGGAGTCCAAGAGACAGGAGGCTGCCACAGAGAGACAGAAGAGGAGAAGAGTTGCCGAGGAAAAGAGACTTGAGAAGGCCCTGGGTGAGGTAAAAAAGGCCGATGATTGGAGTCAAGCTGATTCAGAGTTTAATGACTTCCCCATGGCTGATCCGAGTGCTGACCAGGAGAATGGTGACTTTGTCCTTAACCCAGAAAATAATGATCCCAAACCTTCCAGGCATAAGATTCGAAATAGGAAAGATATCCCGAGCATAGCTCTGGCCAGCATGCGACACCACACTGGTCTCAGAGAAACTGCAGAGATAGCAACAGCCGCCTGGATTGACGGTGGTTTGACAACACCTGATGATGTTCACCTGGTGATAGATCATAACAAAGTAAGGAAAGAGCCCAAAAGAAACCTCTGTCAGTGAACCTAGGAAGAGGAGTTTTGATAAGGATAAGAGAAAATGGAATCAATTGTTTGTTCTTTGATGGGAGAAGGGATGACACTAAAGTGTTCATGAGTTGAGCCCTTTGGACAAGTTGTTCCTGCCATGGTGAAGGAGGAACACTACTCCCCACAGTGAACCAGGAGGGAAGTATTTGTAAGATTTCACCCAGAGAAAGATGACATCAGGAAACCAGCTGAGATAGTGGCAGATAACATTGTGAACTGGCTCAGGAGAGGAACAGACCTCAGACCCTGCAGGCCATTGGAGGACAGCACCAACACGAACACAGGGTGGCAAGGGGGGTCATACAGTGATAGAGTGGAAGATTGGGAGGAAGGTCTGGATTGTTTGTGACCTCCACACCAACGCGTTGCCACTCAGACATCTGATCCAGGAGCTGGATGGCAAGACTCTTTCAAACAACAGATGGTCTGGTCCTCTTGGCAAGATGCTGGACTCTGCCACTGAGTTAGAAATAAATCCGAGCTTTGAAAAAATCACAGTTGGCCCTCCACTCGTTGACCTTGCACATACTGTCATTGACGACCTGAGTACTGACCAGTACTATGGTTACATGATTTGCAGTGCCATCAAAACTGGGGTCATGCCTGATAGACTTGCTTACCTGCAGATAGGTCCAGTCTCACATTCTAGGTGGTTCACAACGGCTCTCAGGTTTTTGCAGAATTTGGGTCGCTTCATCATAACTGAAGAACCAACTTCTAGCCTGAGACTTATTGTCCAATTCATCATTGAGTGTCTACTTGCCAAGTGGTTCTTCAAGGTCAAGTCATCGTTCTCGAGGTCAGGCATATTCTCTTCAACGAGCTCCTAGTCAGCCAAGGAAGATTGTTCAGGTATTGGAGCAGACTGTGAGAGATCTTCTGGCTATGCTCTGTCAGGCAGTTCGTGAAGGCCTTTCTGCAGCCAGGATGAGGAGGGAGAAAGTGGCAGTCAAAGATCTTGGATATGACACTTATGAGAGGATCTGGGCATGACGAAATCGGTTGGTGACGATTCCTTCAGGGGTCAGGAAGACCTCACAGTCATCTAGGTGCCAAGACCTCACTGATCTCCTTAAGAATCTGGATAACATCAGGTGGCAGTGAGCCCCTATGTACCAATGTTCAAGTCAGAGCTTTCCTGGACAACCCATGCATGTCCCTGCCTGGCCCTCGCACACCCAGAGTATAGAGCGTTGTGTACAGCAAGTGAGCGAGGCCAGCAGTCACGTGTACAGCCAGGAGAGGAGGGAAGGCTACATCCGAGCTCAGGTGGTCAGCAGGGAGGTGATGAGTAGAAACAGAAGCAAGAAAGACATGTTCTCTATGGTGTGCAGCAACACCGGGTCGTAGTAGTAAAACCGGTTTTGTATTTGATGATTTTGTTTTCTAAAGATAATAGAGATTTGCTCGTGTCAAGATCATTCGTTTCACTATTCTGGATGTTTTCATCCTAATAAATTAACCTGATACATTTACTTTGCTTTAAATAAACTGTTAGTGGTGTTGGTAAAGTCAGAATACCAATTTCATAAGATTTCAAGTGCATTACCCTAGCAAAAATAAACTTTTCAAATCTGAAGATATCACATGATTCTGCACATAGAACTACATCATTAATACCATGGGCCGATTTTCAAACTAAGAATTCGCCTCATTGACACTACTACCTATACCTCTTGAAAAGTTCCTCACTCCTAACCTTACCTATGTCGTTTCCTCCCACACTAAGACACACTACTGGATTGGTGCCCTCCCCTGACAAAACCCTGTCTAACCTCTCGGTTACATGCCCTATCCCAGCCCCAGGAAAACACACCCTAGTCCTACGTTTCCTATCTCTCGCACAAAAAGCCCTATCTACAAACCTCACCTGGCTATCCCCAACTACCACGACCTTACCTGTGGGCAGGGTTTGTACAACTGCCCTTTCTTCTCCTTGATCCATACCGTCCTGCCTCTTCTCTTCCTCTCCAGCTTCCTGCAGCACCTTGTAAGGGTTACTACACTCCACACCCTGGTCAGCTTTCCTGAGCCTGACCCTAGTCCCCTTGGAGACAACCACTCTCCACGCCTGCTCCTCCTTCGCAGGTGTCCTGCTAGGCAGGACACCTACCTGAATAAGTTCCGTCCTGAGGGCTTCATTTTCCCCCTTTAGAGTGTCAACCTCACTCCTCAACTGCCCCAGCTGCCTTAACAGCGTGGCGAGGAGATCGTCTTTCCCCACACTCCCCTCCTCTTCCCCCAAGACACAACGATCCAAGGCGGCCATTTTCCTTGGTGTCTAACGGGAGCACTCGCGGACACGACCTTTTCCAAGCTGGGTCGAGCTGTATAAATGGAAGTCACGGCTGAACAAAGGGGACATTACAAAGATACTTAAAGTATCCAACCAGAAGCGAACTCGTAACAATGGTTTTAAATTAGACAAATTTAGATTTAGGCCCGAAATAGGTAAACATTGGTTTGGAAATAGAGTAGTGGATGAGTGGAACAAGTTACCAAATATCATCATTAACTCGAATACGCTGGATAGCTTCAAACGAATAATCGAGGTGCAGCCTGACTAAAGCAAGATATGGTTTCAACAAGACATCTGCACTCTTATTACTTACACTTCTAGATATAGAACCTAATACTCTGTTTGTCTTATTTCGAACATTAACGCACTGTTTTCTAGGCCGTAGGTCCGGGCTTACAAGTACCCCTAAGTCTCTTTCACAAGTTGACCTTTCTAGGTTGATGTTGTTACGTTGAAGATTTGTTCTACCAATATTAAGTACGTTGCACTTGCTGGTGTTGAATTTCAGTTGCCATTTCTCTGACCACTCCTGCAGTTTATTTAAATCCTCCTGTATTGCATTTGCATCCTGCCCTGAATTAGTCTGCCGCCTTATTTTGATGTCATCCGCAAAGTTGCTTATGTCAATGCTGATCCCAGTATCTACAGTAGATCGTTATATAGATTATGAACAAGAGTGGGCCCAGTACTGACCCCTGGGGAACCCCACTGGTTACACAGCCCCACTCAGATTTGACACCATCTACGCTGACCCTCTGTGTTTTATCGGTGAGCCACGATTTTATCCAATTTAAAACTTTCCCCTCGATACCATGAGCCTTAATTTTTCTCCTCAGAAGCCTCTGATGTGGTACTCTGTCAAACGCTTTGCTTTTTATGAATGAACAAAGCATTGGATTCCTGACCTGTCCTAACACTATATCCATGCTGTTTAAGTCTAGTTATAAGATCTCTTCCCGTCTGGTCTAAGTAAAACATATTACATTCCCTGTAAGGAAACTTGTAAATAAAGCCACCTGTATGAGTTACTAAATGTTACATTTACGTTCCAGGTTTTCAGATGTGCATCACTTTGCACAATTGCGCGTTTTTCAAACATAGTCTGGTTTGGATTGTTGAACAAGAGAGACGAGGCCACGAATCTGTGATTTGCAACACCATCATGGCAGGTATTGTCTGCACACTGTTCTGGAAAAAAATCCCCTAAAAGATGCGTACTGTGACATGCTTTGCCTGTCTTATTAGAAATTAAAAACGTAGGCTTTGTAGTGAATATATCATTCGTAATAACGTATTTTGAATGGTGAGAAAGAGGTAACAGTATAACCAGTCTCTCCCTCTCCCTGTTCTGAGTAAAACATAATCGTAAGTGCCTTTATGTTATGTAGTGATTATTGACTGTCAATCCTCCTCTTGCAAGTCTTCTCTTATCCCCATAATCTGTGTTATGTAATAAATAAGTGACTAGTAAATAAACTATTCTAGATTATACTATTCCTACAGTTATTATTCTCTTCTCTGCGTCCCCTCTCCCACTTCCTACCTTCTCTACCCTTGAGTGCGGGGAGATATGATAGAAGTATTTAAGTGGGTGAAAGGAATCAATAAAGGGGATATAGATAAAGTTCTTATAATATCCGAGCAGGATAGGACTCGGAGCAACGGATTCAAGTTGGATAAGTTTAGGTTCAGGAGGGAGATAGGAAGAAACTGGTTCACAAATAGGGTGGTGGACGAGTGGAACAAGCTTAGCAACTTTGTAGTAAGTGCGGGAACTCTGGAAAGTTTCAAAAGGAGGCTAGATAGATTCATGGATGATAGAGTGGTAGTAACTCTCGACAGGAGCTGCCATGCACAGGCCAACCAGCCTATTGCAGACTCCTTATTTTCTTATATTCTTATGAGATGGTAGGGTAAACTGGTGAACGGTAATATAGTCACAGGAAAATATTACAGAAAAAGAGTCATAATTTTGGCTAGGAAAAAAGTCACATTTAAGGTAATAAAACTAAAAATATTTTAAAACAGTTATTAACTGACTATACATGACTTTTACATATTGACAACACAATTTATATATGATGCACGTAGGTTAGGTTAGGTTGTGTTAGGTGAGGTGACTCCTTTTCTGTGACTTTTTTACCTGGATTCGGGTAAACTAACCACTCCTTTTCTTTATCTCCACCTCCGTTATTCTATCTATTCCTGTCCACCTTCTTAGCTACTCTGTGTAAATATTAATGTAAAGAAAGGAATAAGATAAAAGTATAACGAATGTAAAATCATAAATAAGGTAAAAATAAAATAATTTGAGAGATAATTATAAAAACTCTGTAGAGAAAAAGAAATAAAAAGAGAATTAACGAAAGATAAATAATGTTAAGAAATAGAAAAGGTATTAGAAATAAGAAAGATAAATAGAAAAATAGTTAAAGAATAATTATCAGTAATTAAGATAGAGTAAGAACCTATTGTTACAATATATATATATATATATATATATATATATATATATATATATATATATATATATATATATATATATATATATATATATATATATAAGAACATAAGAAAGTGGGATACTGCAGGAGGCCGACTGGCCCATACAGGGCAGATCCCTTTCACACCCATCCCAGCACTTCCATGTGCCTATGCAACTTCGTCTTGAAGCTCCCCAGCGTCCCCGATCCTACTATAGCACTCTGTAGCCTATTCCACATATCCACAACTCTATTACCAAACCAGTGCTTGCCTATATCCTTTCTGAATCGGAATTTATCTAATTTAAAGCCATTTGTTCTAGTTATTTCGTTACTACTGAGCTTCAGAACATCTTCCATTTTACCCTTATTAATCCCACTTACCCACTTGAACACCACTATCATATCTCCCCTAACTCTACGCCTCTCTAATGAATGTAAGCCTAAGCTTTTCAGTCTTTCTTCATATGGAAGGTTTCGAATATTATGGATCATTTTTCTCATTCTTCTTTGTACTCTCTCCAAAGAATCTATGTCCATTCTATAATAAGGACACCAGAATTGAACCGCATAATCCATGTGTGGCCTCACTAATGCTAGGTAAAGTTTCAAGATAACGTCAGCAGTTCTGTTCCTCACACTCCTAGATATGAACCCAAGAATCCTGTTTGCCTTGTTGCGAACGCTAATACATTGTTTTCTAGGTTTCAAGTCGTTGCTAACAAATACACCTAGATCTTTTTCACAATCTGAGTTTTCTATTTCCGTGTTACCTAGTTTATACTTAACGTTTATATATATATATATATATATATATATATATATATATATATATATATATATATATATATATATATATATATATATATATATATATATATATATATATATACATATTGATAAAATCACACGGGAAAAGTGAAACAACGGATTCAAACTTTATGCGCGAGTCAAGATTGTGGTACGTCTGGCCAGTGCGGACCTGTGTTCCTGTCAGTGTTAGTGAGTGATATAGTGACATGGCAG